TTCCTGGGATCAGAGTTTCACAAACAGATGCAAGTGACCACAGGGTTCTCAAGCAGCTATGTAGACCAAACCAAAATGGAAAACTTCCAAATAAAATTTGGATGAAGCAAAGAAGGAGAAGCAGGTATCAAGGGTGGAAGAAGAGGAGAAATGATGTATGTATAGCTGATTCTCATTATTCACAGTAGTAATGGTCTATAAAGTCACTGTGGACACTGGATTAGTGAATATTGAAACATTGTTCCTGGGGGAAACACAGGGTGAGGTTTCTGCAAGCCTCTGGTCACAAAATTTTCATCAACTGATCAACACATCACCTTGTCTTATGTGAGTTTTCTGTTTAAAGACATCTTATTCAATAGATGCTGTTGATTTGTTAACATTGAACAAACAGCCAGCAGCAATGTTGTCTGCAGGAAGCTTGTCTAACACACCTAGTTTCCCTGTAAGGCACATCACAGCCTTGCACTTAGGAACACCAGACAGCAGTGCAGCACTACACTTGGGAACTGTTTTAAACAGCAAAGTCACCAACAAAAATCACAAAAAGGCAAAAAAAGTAGCACTAAATAGATTGTGAAGACCCTGGCTGGGACGATAGGTGCCAAGCCACGCGAGTTTTTCACTGCTCTGCACATGTTCACAAATGACCACAAAGGGGCTGCAAGTATTGATTTTGGTAAATTTTAGCAAGAGGGCAGATTTGCAAATACAGAATCCATGAATAATGAAGATTGACTGTCTGCGTGTGTGTGTGTGTGTGTGTGTGTGCACGTGTGTTTATTTACATATCAAACAAAATTCAGAACCTTGCAGCTGTTTTCTTGACAGCTTCAGTGACCTTCCCTTAAGTTTCTGAACATTACTCTTGGATAATCCATAGATAACCCCACTCATTCTCTTTCATCCACATCCTCAAGCAAGTGACAGACACGTTGGCCCTTTAGAATGTAGCAGCCTGACTTAGTCATCAAGACAGGGACAGTGAAGATCTAAGTAAGGTAGACTGAGGACAGGGTAACAAGACAAAACCAGTCTGCAGCCCATAGTGCCAGGCATTGCAGGCAGTGGTTGTGACCAACAGCCAGCAACAGACTCTAAGGGCTCTCGTGGAGGTGGATTGATGGTGGGTTAAGGTGGCATCATGTGCCCACAAGCAACACAGTCACTCTGTCAGTCTGTGGTGACACAGACTACAAACATACCATCCTTGTTCATTCTGCCATCTTCCACACTCAGCCCGGGGCATGACAGGACCTGTCCTTCCTCCACCCAGATGCCTCACACATTCCTGTCCTGAGGATTCCCAGCCTAGTGGTGTGTCCAAGGGCAGCAACTACAGATGCATAGCAGTCAGAGCCACTCCAGTGAGGAACTGGCGTTCAATATGTCACCACTCAACCAGCTGCCATCTAAGATTCTCATTTCCCAGAACTGGATCTCAGGGGGAAGGAGGCCTACGAGGAGAGAGTGGATTTGAGGGTAGAGACTCCGTAACCAAATGTTTTGGTTGCAGATTGACAAGATATGACTTTCGGTGAGAAACTCCATATTGACAGCTCCTAGCCCAATGCCAGATCATAAATGCTGATTCAAGTCTGGTGAGGGAATGAGTGAAAGAAACACAAGGCCAGACATGGTGGCTCATGCCATTAATTGTAGAACTTTGGGAGGCCAAGATGGAAGGATCGTTTGGGCCCAGGAGTTTGAGACCAGCCTGGGCAACATAGGGAGGCCCCATCACTATAAAAAAATTAAACACACACACACACACACTCACACACGAGGAAAGTGACTGGCTTGCTGGCTGGCTGCGCGACTTTTGTTTATTTTATGAGAGCATGGTTCCATGAAGGGCAGTAGTAGTGGCCCATCAGGCTAAAAAATCTCAGCTTTTTTCATCAGACTGAAAAAGTGTTTTTCAAAGCACTTTTTTACATGTCATCTCATTAATCCTCAGATTAACACTATGTGGCAGAGGGGCTGGATATCAATACATGCATGACATTAGTTGAGTTAATTAAAGCCTAGAGATGTCAAGGACATCCATTTGAGCAAGGATATCCCATAAATTATTGCCATGGCCAGCACCCCAGACCACGCCTTTCTGATGGGTTTCATGGTAGTAAGCAGGCTCTGAGGTGTGCATTAGATTCCCCCTTCCTTAGCACTCAAGGCAGCCCCCCAAGTCCCAGGACCTGGCAGAAAAGGGTTCATGTGTCACCTGGGACACACAACCAGGGCTCTAGAAGGCCCACCCTGCAGGATGTGTGGACCTCTGGCCCGAGGATTGGCAAATGCAGCAACAGGACTTAGAGCCAGCGATGCTGCTTGTCTGGTTCCCCGAGCTGGGGAGTAGGTTGCCAGGAAGCCAAGCGGGCAGTCAGTGCCAGGCCAAACAGGCAATTAGCACCCACAGAAATCCCGCTGCCCAGCAATTGCTCAAGGCCATCAAACTCTGGGCCTACTGATTCCTGGGGCAGAGGGCAGGTGAATTGGGAGCTTGTGTTGACAGAGAGCCCCCAAGTCCTTGAGTAAGAGTCCCACACAAGCACCTGGACTTGAATTCACTGTGCTCCCAAGGCGAGGAGAGCGCTCCAGTTTAGACAACCAAGCCGACCTCAGCATCCTCCTCTGGACTTGATTTGTGCTTTCCTCATTTGATGGTTAGAGCCCTGCCATAGTCACCTCCAGTCTAGACTGCTAGACAGAAGCTCTGTTTTGGC